CTTTAATGAATTCCTTTCTTTTGCGATAACAATAAACAGCTGCTGCAGCTTTTGTTACAATTTTAACATGTCTTTCAACTGCTTGTGTGTTACACGGCATGTTTAACTTGAAAACTGGCGTGTCATCTTGATTAATGAAAAACACGAACTGTTCATTGCTTATTTTATTTTTTTTGTAAGCGGTAGCTCTACTCTCAGTCCACATTATTAGATCAGTGTAATGTTGTATTAATATTTGGAACCACAAACTGTCTCATTGTGCTAGAATTTGAGGTAGGTAGATCGAGTAGCTAATATTCTACGAAGAGCAAGTTGTCTGATAACCTTAGAATCATCTCCAAGAATTGCAAGCAGCAAATTTTCCGGGTGGGCAAAATATGCATTTCTCCGGATTACTCTATCCACCACATATTTCTATGATTCAGGAAGAAAACGTGATTTTCTTACAAGTAGAAAAAGGTGCAGTGAGCCATGGCTGCATGAGGGATTTTTATTGATATTAAACCAAACAGTTGCATACACTTGAAAATGGATTTAGGTTCACTGATCAAAGTTCTGTTCTGTTCCATGATTACACGTTTATAATGTTTTTGCCCATTTTAAATGACAATTTTGGTTATATCTTTTCTATCATCAACGTAGATAGATTTAATACAATTTGATTAATCAGAAGTCAGTAATGTTTCTCAGTATTTTTTCGTTCCTCTCGTATCTTGTTTTTATCGACAATTCTAGCTTTGTCATTTTCTTGGATAATGGCCATATCTTCCAAAACAGCTGAGGTTAGGGCTGTAGCAGTTCTATTCGAAATACAGTACTTGTCAGCTTTTGAGATTTCGATGTAGAATGTGCAGTATTAACAATATAAATCTTTTTTTTAGCTTGAAACCATTTAGCCCTCGTGATTAACTATTTCATTTGGTGGAGAGCTAATACACTTATTTTTTCAAACTTTGGTTCGCTTGCGGCAGTTGAAGATATAATTTGATGAGTTTCATACTGCATAAGATTAATTCTTATAATAAAAGGCAACTATTGCATACGCTGCCGACTAGCAATTACAAAATAAAATTTTCAACCAAGTAAATTCGATGCACCCTATTTTTCTGTATGGCAATAGAAGATATTGATTTGGCAGTCATCATTTCACTCATTTTGATATAGCACCCATTTAATTACTGTAATAGTGGCATTATTTCCTTTGGACCTGCTAGAAGCATGAACTTTTTGGTTAGTTTCAGGTTTTTGCACAAAGCTAGAGAATGGCAATTCGCAACTAGTCATTTTTAATTCTGAACTGATAGACTGGAGGAGTTAGTTAACAGCGCTAACTGTGGGTTGTTTAAAGGAATAGTAGAGTTTGACCATCAGTCTCTTAGAGAAAACCCAATCGCTTTAAAGTGCAGAAAATTATTTTCACGGTAACAGTATACGAACCATGAATCCTCAGATGTTTTTCCATTTGAAATTGAAACCCATGAACGACTCTGTCATGAATAACAATGGATCATAACATTGCGATCGACGCATTTAAGGCATTTTATTACATTGCTGGTACATTTTTTAAATTGACGAAATATTCTTCTAACATCACAGAGCATGGGCTATTGTACTCGTTGCATTAAGTGTAATGCACTTTTGATCTTGGATGAATGTCCCTATTTTAATGACAGGTTATATACATAATTACATTTACTTACTTTTTTATTTGGTTATTTATTTTTTATGCGATTCTGGCTCAAAGGATGTGTAAAGTACTATGGAAATATATTTTTTTTTAACTTTGGGATACTCTTTGAGAAAAGAGAAAAGGAAGTTTTATCGATCATATCATAGTGATATCAACAAAGTTTCTTACAAAACACACAACGTTGAAACTTTTTTCCATAATTGTATTATTTATAAATTCTGTATTTCAACTCGAGATGTCTCTTTAAGTCTTGCCAGTTTTGTTCTGAATTGACTTACTCGTTAAAAACATATTAGTATTACTTTTTTAGTCTTTACTTATACATCTATATAAACAGAAACAATTCTGAAGTTAAGTTTTTATAGAAGTATAAATAGTAAAACATATTATATTCAACCTAAGCCATAGGGCTGTTAATGATCGGGTACTTTGCATTAATCTTTGTTTTTTCGATGATCTCCGGCCTTATCCAAGAAACGTTATTTTAATATAACCTGTCTAGGCTTACCGTGCATGTATAGCCTTGATCTACTATAATACACACACACACAGATATATATATATATATATATATATACACACATACATACATACACAAACAAACACATAACATTGTACGATAGGTAGTTTTCTAATATCACAACAATTTACTAAGTTAATAAGAAGAGATCTAACGGTAATAATCAGAACAAGGCTGGAGAATACTGAAATTTTATATTAAACTAAGTGTAAACAGTCCAAAGTTCTATTTCATGGCCACAAGGAGTCCTGGTAAGCCTTTTTCAAATGTATGATCCTATCAGAGCAGTGTGTATAAGAAGGAGATTATTTTGAATGAAACGAAGGAATGTACAGACTGTTGTCAGTAGATAGGATATGACAGTTATCATTTTAACCATTTACTTGTATTATTTTTTATGTTTTTAGTGGTATAATTAGTGAATAAGTTATTTTGATGACCTTGGTTTTCATGTTTTGCATTGTAAGTGAAATGTTAATTATTACATATGATGAAACACTGTAAAAGCTGTAATATTTAAGGACACCCATTACATTAAGTGTAAAATCTAGTGGCACATCAGTTAACATGTAAATATGACAGAATTAGTAGACAAAATGAGCATACGTTGATTTATGTTGATGCTAGCTTTATAATTTAATTGTAATTATACTGTTTATGAAAGATGGCAAATGAGCTTTATTGATGCTAGAAAGAATTGACTTGTATTTGTGACTAAAATAATTATCAGTTATTTAGTTTTTAAGCATGATTAATTTTTATAAATTCCACTTTAAAGAATGAATTTGATCAATGAGTATAAGTGGTATATTGTGGATTGATGAATAATCCAAAAGGTTTTTCTGCTTAAACTAAATATGGCCAGCAATCACAGGGAATTCATATTAGCACTAATGTCTACATTGAACAAGTGTGTGTAGAACTTTAAATATTTTTACTTCACTATTTCGACTCAAAAGATTCAATAAATTGACAGTGGTTATCAGAAAATGTAAATCTCACACATAAGCAGACTTGAGTTTTAAGATTTCCCATGTACTTAGCATAAACTGAAAGTTATGTCAGAAATAAATACTTTAAGTAGAAATCGGAAAGGTTTGGTTGCCAAAAGGGCTGTAACTATAATTAAGTTGATCATAATTTTAGTTAAGATATAATTCAAGTTTCTACAATTATTAAAACCCACAAACCATTACATTCACTTGAAACAGTGATATAATACATCACTATCTAGGAATCACTGGCCAACAAGTTATATATGCATTGATAATATGTAAAGATAATGTACACATATATGGTTGGTGAAATGTAATGGATGAAGGTGTAAGATGACTTGAGCTTGAACCTAAACCCATCAGTTCACACTGTTGTTTAACAGTTGCTGCTATACCATCTGTTTTTACAAAAAACCAGATGAGCTACTGAAAGCTGTAATATTTAAGGGGATTATGTGTCACAAAGCAATAGTATTTACAAATTTGTTTAATGATATTATAAACCCACCAAAAAATTAAAATCAAGAAGCATCTGAGAGTTTTGTATAAACATGTTTATTTTTAAAGGTAATTAGTACTTACACGAAAATTATTTAAACCATATGACAGTAAATAATAAATTTGTTTTTATAATTTAAAAATACCATGTATACACAAACTTTTTAAGTAAGAGTTTTGTCCAATTTGATTTTTTTTTTCCTGATATTTTAGGAGCAATATCATTTGGACGGAGACAGTATTTTCCTTCTGCATCAGGTAGATCACTGATGGAAGACTTGGATACTTTATCAACATCTGTAGATGCTTATGGGTCATCAGCTTTTCCTTTTTCTCACTCTAATTTAAATGGCAGGCTTCCGAGCATTTCTAGAATGGAAGCATACAGTTATGGGTTTTCTCCATACAGTAGTTCCTCCCGAGGTCTAGTGAAAGATCCCCAGACCTGGAACTGGGGAAGACGCAGGAAAAGGAGAATAAAAAAAACAAATAATTCTGACATAACAATTAGTAGTGGAATTAATAAAGAAAAAGATTCATCAGATCATGAAAATGTACAGAGTAGAGGAGAAGAAAAATCAAGTCAGGAAACTGATAAGAATATAAAACAACTCCAGGAAATTGCTGAAGAACTTAAAGTTCCATCAGAACTAACTCAACCACTTTTTTGTCACTTGTGTGATGCGAAATTAAATGGGAGTTTACAAGCAGACTCTCACTATGAAGGGAAGAATCATGCAAAGAAAGTAAAACAGTATTTAGAAAAGTTGCGACTAGAAAAAGGTATTACAACTCCTGTTCCAAGTTCTAACTCCAAAGGAAAAGCCGAACAGGTAGGTAAGATTCATTCTGTTCATAGACTTAGAAATGAAAAATTAAAAGGTAGAATGTTTATTCTGATTAAAACAGAATATGTTTAAATAACTTTTATTAAATTTTAACTTGGTACAAAGCAAGTTATATAGTAAAAGGGTGTTTGAAGTGGTTATATAATTCTTTTTATAAATAACAAAATGTTCAAAATGGTTTTAGCATGTTATATTACAAATATATATTCCCCCTCCCTCCCAACTGTAGAAATCAGATAATTTTTGTCCTGAAAAATCATCAAATAATAATTTGTATTATGTTAAACTTGCAAAATTTTAAGTTGGGGACATTGGGAAAATTATGCATCGAATAAAAATAAAACATTTGTTTACAAACACTGTGTAAAATAATTTTATTAAATTTATATGTATTTTCTCATAATCTGTATGAAATTACTATTTTTTTTTCTATTCAAAGCTCAAGAGTTGTTTAGTAGTTAAATGTAATGTGGGATTGTCCGTATGGTACTTTGAAAGTTCACACCAATCTGGATTTTTATATTTTATTGAGTATACAAGTTTTATTATTATTATTATTATTATACAAAGTTCACATGGGTCATATAACCCCACCTCTCAGGAATTCATGTCATTTACGTGTAACTTATGGAATGCCATGGAAAATTAATTTTATATTTAAATTAATAAAAGACTTGAATATCAGTAAACTATATCTCTTCTTACAGGTAACAATTATAATTTTGTTTTTTGACATGATTAGTCATCAAGTAACTGATATATTTAGAATAAGTAGGTAGAATATGCATGATATGTTTATATACTATACAAGTAATACTGTTTATAGCCTAATTACTTCAGCACAACATCAGTCACCCCTAGCTAGCCTATTAGTTATTATTCCTGTGCCGAGGCTCATTAAACTCTCCTATACTTTTGTACAGTGTAGAACTAGAATGTATAATAATTTATCTAACATTTCTTCTCCAAATCATGTTGTCTGAGATATTAAAAACCATGATAATGAAAAATAAAATTGCATTAAATATTTACTGTTTTTAAATTGTCTCAAACTTTATGTTTTAAAAGAGGTCTTGTTCATCTTAAGGTTTATACAAAAATTGTGACAAATTGTGTTTTTAGGATAAAACTGTACAGTGTAATATGGTTACTTCATGTTTAGAAAGACAAACCAGAAGAAGCCTTCTGTAGACTTTGTGATGTTGCTATTACATCAGAGACTCAAGCAAAGCAGCATTACAATGGAAGAAACCACCAAAGGCGTCTTAGAGGGGAGCCTCCACTACCAAAAGGGTTCTTTAATCCCATTACAGGAAAATGGCAGAGACAGTAAGCTTTTCTAATTTTTCACTACAGTTGGACCTGTTACAATTGTAACTTACACATGATTATCATTATTCAACTAAAATTCCAGTTGGGTAGTTTCTTCTAGACCAGAAAGACACTGAAATACTTTTAATACTTTCCTCTGGTTTAAGTTGGTGATGGTTATTTGGATATATCTAGTAGCTACTTAAAATGTTGTGCAGTAACTAATAAAAGTTCTGAGCCCTTGGATAGTAAGAACGTCTGTGAATATTACTTCAGTTAAGCTAACAGATCTATTTAGAAATTGAGTTAATAACTCAAAAGAGCATTAGAAATTTCCTGAAAATTATATGACATGATTTAAACTCACTGCTTGAGAATGTTAAAGAAAACAATAATCCAGATGACACACAGATTCTTAAAGCTGTTTATTTTATGAATAAATGAACAGGACGTTCATAAATTTATTTATTAAAGAAAACCACTTTTACATTCGATGAAAGCATTATTATTTTCATAGTACTGTTTAAGTTACTGAGAAGTTTTAAAATTTCATCCTGATTACCAGCTGTATAAACATATACAAGATGGAAGGTGGTCATGTGAGATAGAATTGGGAAACAGTGCAAAAAAAGAAAAGAAAGAGAGATTCTGATACGAGTTGTTATATTTTCTTACATTACTTTGATTTCTCATTTTGGTCACTCTACAAGATTTGTTGACGTGTTCAAGAGTCTGTGATATGATTTATTTGAAAGGAATACCACCCATCATCATTAATCCAGTGCTTGGGTTTTTATAAGCTGATAATAATCTCAAAAACAACAAAATAATAATAACAGTTTCTGTTACTTAAATTTCATGGGTCATATCCATGTTTCTGCAACTTCATGAGGTCCAGATTCTGCTCCATAAGAGTTGTCTTATTTTTCTTAAATGACAACTGGAGTTACTGATGGTGAGCAGTATTATGCCATTTTGCATTGTGGTATTTTCAAATAACTGATTTTCCCAAAGAGTGATAAGATAGGTCTGCTGAATAACTGGAGATTCATCAAGATATTTACTTCAAAATGGTTCTATATTCTCTGTGTAACACGAATATGTGAGAAATAGAGGGAAGCAAACACAAATGTACAGTGAGAATAAACAATTGTTATTTAAAACAACCACAGTGAAAAATGTACTTCCCACTATGGTTAGTCACATTTACTGAAAACATAGGTTTAAAGATGTTCTGACCTATTTGGACCAGATTGTAAGCAAGACTGAATAAATATCATGTTATTTACTGCATTCTTTAACCTCAGACTTATCCAGAGTGACTAGCACTACCCATGTGTCTGTTAATTCCAAATGAAACATAAAAGAGGTCAGTACTTCAAGAGAGTACCTCTTTGTCAGTAGGAAAGATAACTGTAACTTCAAACTACTACAGGAGACCTTGCAGCTGTTTTTTTCACAGGAAGACAAACTACTCTAGGGTAATGACCCAGGGCAATAGGTAGGTAAAGCAAAAAGAATTTATAGACTTTCTTGACTAATGTGTTATGTGGAAATAATACATACCTGCATAAAATTTGAAATATTCCTGTATTGATACAAAGGGAAAGCATATGGTATGCTTGTATACCACAACATTACATGGTGGGTTCTATCCTAATTTCTTTATCTTGGCCATATGACTCGTGACCTTCTGCTTCTGTAATTTCTGCTGGGCCTGCTTTGTCTTGGATGACTTTGACCAGCTTTTCCCACAACCTGCCTTTCCTTCTGGTTATTCTATTCCTGATGAGAATCAGGAAACATTCACCTTTGTTCTTCACTGCTCTGGTAACTCAGGTTTGTGACATTTGCTCTTTTATTCCACTTTCTGCTACTTTTTTAGGTGAACTTCTTGCAAGCATCTCAACTCAAGATTTTTTCTTCTCTTTCTCCCTTGCCTGATTGTTGCAATATTGTGGATTCTTTCCGACTCTTGATTGCCATGCCTTTCCCAAACTTAAAATTTTCTTCTCTATGGCTTATGGCGAGAAGTCTTCCTCTTTTTTTTTATGCTTCTATCCTCTGAATCTCTATTCCCAGCATGGGGATTTTCTTCATCTCCTACTTAGACTCTCTTTTACATTTAATCTGATTTTTTTACCTTTTCTTACTGAGGTTCTATATCACTACCCACATAGCTTTACTGGGGAAGGTCATACAACTCACCTGTTTTTCATGCTGCCTTGTTTTCTTTAATTGTTGCTTAATGCACTTGCTTTCTTTATTTCTGAGATTTGCTTAATTGGGATGCCGTATTTCTGGAATCAAGCTCCCTCAGTTTTATCTCAGGAAACTCCATTTGGCAGTCTACCTTTATCCAAAATCTTTTTGCCAAGTACCTCATCCTGTGGCTGGTCTTGATGTCTCTAGAGGCTAGGCATCTCAGAGCTTGGTGATCAGCTGTTTCTTGAACCACTCCCCAGCTTTGGTGTTGTGTAATCTTGGCTTTTACACACTGTCCACCTGTGGGCTCATTTGACAGAAAACTCTTAGATAACACAGGTTTTTTCACTTGGAAAATTCAGTCATCTGATTCATTTCATTTGGGAGTCTTTATCTCTTCATTTACTGGGTGAATTCAACCTTCTCCTCTACTTTTCCGAGATATAGAGCTTCTAGTTTTCAAGGCTCTCTTTTGAGGAATCTTATCTCTCTTCTTCCTCTGGATGTGTTCTTTTTGTATCACCTTCAGTGGGTTTTGGCAGATCAGTGGAATATATCCTGTAATCCACTGTCTCCTCTCAGTTGTCTACCTCTTTCTGTTATGGTGGCTGGAATTGTTGCATATCACTCTGAGCATGCATCTTCTTCTACTCAGAATTTTAACTGTTCATGAATGTCTCTCTAGCTGGGTGGCAGTTATTTCTGGATACCTTCACCATTTTTGGTGTTTGGTCTCTGGTGAAGCAGTCTTTTTACATCAACATCCTTGAGATGTGGGTTGTTCAATGGATCTGTCACCATTTTTTGTTATAGCTGTCTAGACATTCAGTTTTGATGCATTTCAAGAACTACACTGTCATTTCTAACATTAACCAGCAGGTGGATTATTGACTTTTGGGACCTCTTCCATCTTTTTCTCAAGCTCAGCATTTGGATTCATGATTAAAACATCTGGTTGGTCACCTTTCATAGCCTCGAAGCTTTTGAATTTAGTGACAGATCTGTCTTGACCAGACCAATCCACATTGAGAGTCCTCTTATTGATCCTATTCATTCAATTTGGTGTTATCTCCCTCACAGTGCTCCCTTTCAAGGCAATCAACATCTTTTTTTTCCTTGTCTTCTTGTTACTTATCTCCTTCTACCTTGACATGTTGGATTAAATAACTGTTCTCTCTTGTCTATTTCTCTATGGGAGATGATGTCATTTTATCCATCACGTAACTTCTCATTGAATTCGTCAGCTCGTGGCTTCTTTTGCATCTAGCCATTGACATCTCCTGGGTGTAATATTGTAGATGGGATGTGGATGATCCCCGACACTTTTATATAACATTACTTATACCACATTATGGTTTATCTTGCTTGTGGGGTTTGTTTCCCTCCAGTTGCCATTTGCCAATTTTCCCGGTGCAACTTCCACAAAAAAGCAACTACCTCAAAATACAGAAAAAAAATATATATATATACTCATGTAATAGTCGATCCATGATTTTTGACCAAAAAATCTTAATTTTTCATATATCTTGTGTAAAAAGTTGACCTAGTTTTTCTGGTAATCTAAGAGAACAACTGCTCACCCCAGGCCAGGTCACAATTGATGCTGAAAACTTGTGAAAACAAACAAAAACACTTAACTCTAACACGGACTCAGTTTAGATATTATGTTGGTTTTCATGTTTACCTTTTTTATAAATAAAAAATAAAAATAGCTTTTTTGTTGTTTATTGTCTTTTATATCAATTTGGATTTTGTTTCATGTTTTGTGTACTCTTACTGAGCATGCATTTCATCCTCTCGAAAGCATTACTCGTGTAAAAGTTGACCCCTAAATTATAGCCTAAATAATTAGTCACAAAAATTTGACTATTACACAAGTATATACAGTATATATATTAGATAATTGAACCCACAAAG